ACTTATTCTATCCCCCACCCCACTTTTCCGTCTTCTTCAAACTGTTCTCACTCGCAGTTCATTTAGAAGAGAGAAAAAACACACCGTCTGTTACAAGTCAAAATGTATGTTACAAAACTCACGAAATGTCAAATTGTTAGATTCTTTTCTTTCAAATAAGATTTCCCAATTGCTTGTTATATTGGCATGGCAGTTACAACTAGATAGATTCACTTCAGACTGACATATTTTATGGCTTAATTATTTCAGGGAGTGTTGTATAGTAAAGGCGGAGCAGTGAATTTAAATAATGAAAGCAAATGTCAGCCCTGTCCTTAAAAAGATAATATTCCTATTGAGCAGCAAAATGCTTGGGCCGACCAGTTTTAAAAGTGTTCCTGTTGCCACAATCGGGGGCCCAGGTGCTAATGAGGCATTTGTTTAGACCCTAAAGAGAAATCAAAGAAAAGAGAAAAAAGTAGTAAAGGAAAAAGAGAAAGGAGCAGAAAGGCAGGATGTGAGGGAGGAGGTTGGCAAAGATTTGGACTAAAAATTTGGCGTCCTCCAAACACAGAGATAGCATCGTGCCAAGAACGGCCACCAACACAAGGCTTCTCACCATTTAGACAGGAAGAAATTCTCTTCAAAAATGTTATACACACCGACACATAAAAGAATATCAATACTGAATAATGCAACTGGACTAGAAGAATGGTTTTAGGAGAAGAAAAAGAAAAACGTGTGTATGGGAAAACCAAATAAAAGTGTAATGCTGCTATTATGCGTCTAATTGTAGCATTACTAAGGCGGCGCTGGGCAAAGCGGGCGGCCAGACTCGGCACCGATGCCAGGCTCTTGCTGTGAGCGGTGTGCAGTGAATAAGGCATGTTCCGCAGCTCTCACGTCTTAGGCCCGTTTCATTGTGAGCGCGTCTCCTCTTTTCTCCTCTCCCACTGCTACTCTGAGGTCAGGAAAGCCTCAGACGTGGTGGTGTAGTGTTTTTTTGGTCAGATGCATTTTGGGGACTGCCGCAGCTACGGAAGAGAACAGCTACATGAGCATAAATAGCCACGCATGCACACTTTAAAACATGATTTCTTTGCACGTTTCTCTGTCTACGTTTCAAAGCGTGTATCTGTTCTTTGTACGGGATTGCGTTGAGTGAATACACCAAATAAATATGTTTTACACCAGAAATAAATTAAATAAACACTTCCATAATTATACATAAAATGAAGAAATTCAATTAAATGATTAAAAAAAAATTAACTTATACAATTCCTTTGCCTCAAGTAATTGTATATGTTTTTTCAAATACGCAGGACTACAGTAATTCCACACACTTTTACACCGACACGTGCCAACTCTGTCTTGAAGACTTATTTAATAATAAGCAGTTTGAAATACTTCAGGGTGGTTTGTTTCAGAAAATAAAATTTCCCCCAAAATATATAATTTATATGTAGTGTAAAAAGGTTAATACTCAATTCATTACATGTAATAATCAATAGACTACTAAATCATCGATAGCTGCAGTCCTACAATGAAGCGTTTTGAGCAGAAAAGTTCCATTTTCGTTGGTCACCTTAATGTGGGACGAAGCCAACACTGTAGTTGTGTTTGTGTGTGCCTGCAGTGTGGTTTTGTCTCCGTGGTCTGAGAGATAAAGGCAGACCCTGCGGTTTTGGACGGGTGACTTAAGCTTGCACACGTCTGCATGAGCGCGTGCATCTGTTTCCAAAGCCAAGACACTGCTCGCTGTCTTTGAAGTGACTGATTTCTTAATGTTGCATAGGAAATAAAACTATTGTTAACACTACTATACATACAGAGATGTTTTTTCCCAGTCTGATCGAATACAAATACAAAGTTCCCACAACGCAACTGTCTCAGACCTGGCTGCCATTAAAGTGTAGGATTATAACTTTTGTTCTGCACTTTGACGAAAGAATCACCTATTATATTAACAACAGATTTTCAGTCATGAGGAAAGCAATAAAAACCTGTCTCAATATCCTGTCAATGTTCATGTATCATACAAGCTTCTCTCTAATGCCTCGTAATGTCCACTTTCCCCCAATAAATCCCCTCTTTCGGAGATGTTTCTCAGTGATATTCACAAGACTACTTTTTATTTGTGATTCGTTCCTGTGGTCAGTAAATAGGCGCGGGCTGGCAGCTGCTGGAGGTTTCTCTGGGCTTTCTCACAAGCCAGTCCAAGGCTCCACTGCTGCTATAGCGCGAAGAGGAGGGATCTGGCAGAGGCAGCGTGGAGCGTGGAGCGGTCATGGCACAAATGGCACGGCGAGCACATTTCACACCTCCCTCAGAGTGACTGCAAATTTCCTGTACTGCACTTTTGATTAGAAACACATTTGAAACATCTTTTTATGATCACACTTACGCTGCACAAAGGAAAATATAGAATCTGGGCCAGAGTATGAGTAAGAGCAGAGTGCTACCTTGGGACCTTACTAACGTTGTTTTTTGTCTTAACTTTTTCCTGTTCATAAATAAATATGATATTCTTGCAAGACATGGTTTGTGCAGGGATTAGCTACAATTGATGTGATTACAGCTGTAATAATTACAGCTGAAATTATAGATTATTTTTCATTAAAAAGCTGGGCAATTACTTTTGTGATGAATCAGTTTGACTTTTAAATCTGCCAAATAAAGGATTTTTCATGAATTTTACCGAAACAAAGCTAAAAAGATGTCACTTGAGAACATAGAGACATAAATACATCTCTGTTAATTCCAAATAATTACAGAAAACAATTCCATTGCTAAATTAGTTGACAAATATTTCACTTATTGATTAGTTGTGATAAATTTATCAGCTTGATACAGCTCTAAAAACTAGTAATAAGCAAAGATAAGATGAACTTTATTGATCTCACAATGGAGACATTTACAAACCAATAATAACCTAACACCAGTAAATAAAACACACACCTCTTTCACTAACACTATGAATGCTGGTATCATTTCTAATAATAATAATGCTTTTGTGCCAGCTTTGAGGTGAGTGTCGTGGCCGTAGTTTCTCTTGTACATTGACGTGTGGCGGTTTGTACATGAGAGGAGCTCAAAGGCTGGCTTCTGAACAGCCCGAGTAGAGCCCAGAGATTCCCTGTGGCAGCTTTTGCTACTCTGTCATAAACAAAACACAAGACGTCTTTCTCTTCTTCCCACACCAACGGTGCTCGGTGCTGCCAAACAGAACAATCACTATCGCAGCCTCTTCTCCTTTCCAACACTCTCTCTCCTGCCATCTCTGTCTCTCGCCCAACTACAATATAAACAAAAGAGATCAGCAGAGGCTTTACCTCTGTGAGAACAACAATAAGGGCCATGTTTAAGGAGACAAAACAAAAGTGTGTACGGGATCAAAGAGGAGCCAGGAAGACAGAGATGCTAAAGACCTACAAAACGCAACGCAAACAAAATCGTACAATGAGCTCATGTTTTTATTCACTGCACAACTATTTATTATTGCTGTTCATAATTACCAATGGCTTCAGACATTGACTAACTCAGGATACTTATCTCTACAACGAGTCGCAGGCAGTCCTACCCTCTTGGGCAGGACAAAACAGTGTGGAGTGCCGATACAGTGGTTCACACATAGGAATACAGCTTAAATTAAAATAAACACATACATGAATATAATATGGAGCATACTTTACATGCAAAATAAAAAAATATGAGTAACAGATTCTATATGAATTAATAAATTATGTATATTTAAAATTGCATAAAAATCCCACATATATATTTGCAGGATTAGGTGTGAAGGCTGCTGAATGCTTCTGCTTTATCTCAGCCACAGATGGATCCACTGAGTTAAGCCGCTGTTACAGCCAGGCTTTGGCCGGGGCCGTGTGAGGTGCTTGCTGTTTGGCTTGGAAAGTGAGAGGTTGAGAAAAACAAAAAGGAGCCTGAGTCACATTAGAAAATAACCATAAACCTCTGCATAGGCAGATTGTGTGTTTGATGGCTGTTGAATAAGTGCATGCGGCTGTTCTGTACTATTAGATTTTTTCTTTTTTAATCCAGCTGAGATAATATTAGGTCATGAGCATGTGTTTCTATGTATATGTGGCCAATGGTGAGGCAGTGTGTTTTCGAGGACTTGGCTGTGAAACATGTTTAGTGTGTGTGTGTGTGTGTGCGCGCACGCCAGTGTGCACGCGCTTGTGTGATGGTGTTTCTTGTTCGTGTTTTTTCTAATGTGACAAAACTACAACACAGCCAGTGTTTGGCTGCATGTGAAGACTACAGTGATGTTTGGCCCAGTACGAGGTGTGCACCCGTGATAGTGGCTGACATACAACAATGTCTGGCTCAGACCTACTGCTAATATCTGGCCACTTTCACTCTTAGGAAGTGCGTCCATTTGTGACAAAGATACAAACGATATATCTGTTTTAAGAGTACAACAGTGTAACAGTGCTGGAGATACTGTATTTTGACCAAATGTGTGTGCCATTAAAATGTTTGTGAGCCGGTGTGTTTGGCAGACAGGTCTTGTGTGGGGCTCATGCAGACGGAGAAGGCAGCAGCAGCCTGCGGCCTGGGAGCGCAAGACTCCCTCACACACGAGCGCTGGGCTGGGGCCAAACGACAATCCCCCGCTACAATGGCCTTATCATGGCACACACACACTTTGACAGACTGGGAACAATCCTGTAAACAGCAACTCTCCCTGATCAAACCAAAACACACAATTCGAGAGTGGAAATCTGATTTGTCATTAAAAGGTGCTTTCAAATGTTAACCCATAGTCACAAAAACCATATTGATGCGCAGCCAAAAAAGTGTATTGAAGAACAAATACAATGCGGCTCACACACTCTTTTATTTTGGTTATGGTTAAAAATACATACATAATAAAATTATGTATATTGTGTCTGCTCATGTATTTGCAATGTTGTATTGTAACTCAACCAATATGTTTTGGTGTTGTTGTCTGTGTTTATGTGTGCATATGTTTGAGATGTCCCGGAGGCACATACCTGGCGTGTGGACGAAGTAGGCCAGGTACAGGTCCAGTTCTTTGACGGACACGCCGATGTGGTGTGGCTGCACGCACAGGCCCGGGTTGGTGCACTGTGGTGACTTGACGAGCCGCTCTCCGTCTGTGCTCTCCAGGGGGCTGCCCTTGAACAGGATGACCATTACCAGGTCCAGCCGCCACACCTTGTCGGCCTGGCGCAGGCAGTCGATGCGGCGGATTTTGCCCTTTTGGTCGGGGTTGGACAGCACGCAGCAGGGAGGCTTCTTCCCTGTGATGGTGAGCACAAAGTCCTCGCGGAACTCGGGCCGGATGTCCTTCCGAAGCTTGGCCAGCAGGCGCGAGGCCCACTTCTGCTTGATCTCTGGCTTTTCCCCCAGCAGTTCATCCTTCACTGCGCGCTCCTCCTCCTTGGACATGCGCTTCTCGTGCTTCTTGAAGTACTTGCGTTTTCGGGCCTGTAGGTTGAACCAGGTATAGGCAAACGCTCGGACATGGGGAAGCAGGGCCTCGATGAACGGGTGGAATTCATCCTGGACCAGAGATGAAGATGGGGGGAGGGTGGAGGAGCAGAGGGAGGGGGAGAATGGGGGAGAAAAGGATGGGGAGAGAGGCACAGGGGGTGAGGAGGGGAAGAGAGAAGACAGGCAGTTAGCACCGGCACGCAGCATGGAGGAGCGCCACTCGCTCTGCGCTCGTTCAGAGACTGAGCAGCGAGAGACAAACAGACAGAGAGAAAGAGAGAAGAGAGAGAGGGATGGAAGACACACACCTTTCAGCCACTTGTCCCTGAACAGAGCCTCACTTACTCTGACACACTTCAATAAGACAAAAGAGAAGGAAGAAAACAGCGCAATCACAATTATGACGCTTTTCCTGCTTTTCTTTTTTCTTTTTTAGCTGTTCACACCGAAATCGAAGGTTTAAGGTCACAACCAAAATTCATTGGGTAAACACGACTTTGCTTTTCAGAGTAACAATGCATTTAACATTTATACAGTGGTATGCTGAATGACTATTTTGCAGTAAAACAATTCAATAGGAATGAAGAAATACAGAGTAGTTACCATGTTTCTCTCTCATCCTAAATTCAACCCGACGAGTGTAAAAAATAAAAGGTCACACAACTATAAAATACATTTACTGCAGAAGAAAGATGAAAAAGGATGTTGAGGAAGTGTCCCTCAAAAGCCGAGAAAGGTTGAAAAAAATGTGCGTTGTAATACCAGCCCAGAAACACAGGAGGTACTGTGGCCAAGTTACACGAGCAGAGTGAGTTTAAGATCACAGAAGGAGAGTGACCCAACTTTATCTGTTTTCAGCAACAACAAAAAAAGTACAAATTAAGTAAAAAAAAATCTGAAGGCAAAAAAAAAAAAAACAATTTTAAACAATCTCAAAAGTAACACATCAAAGGTAGTTGTCAAAGCGGCGCATGCTATGAGTTCAATTGAGTACGATATGTGACGCCTCGGGTGGAGGGAGAGGGCTGGACTTGGGGGGTGCGAACGGAGGAGAAGAGAAGAAAAAACAGCAAAACAAGAAGAGCGAATCAATGTTGGCCAAGAGTGCCCGACCGCTGGCAAACCCGAGTGCCGCTTCTTCCCCCTTTTTCTCTCCAACTCTGTCTCTCTCTTCCTCTCCACTTTCCTTCTCTAACCATTGAGTGAGTGAGTGCCAACGCGCGCAGGGCCCACCTATTTGGCACGAGTCGCAGTCTGACCAGCCAATACGCACGCTCCGAGCACTGAAAAGGGAGGGATGACGGAGACATGGCAGAGCGAGAGAAGCGGCGAGGTGGGGGGTGGTTGTGGAGAGAAAGAGAGAGAGAGAGCAGCGATTGTGTGTGCTGCGCGGGCAGAAGGCACATCATTAGCCAAATAGACAAGTTCCAATCCAGCGCTAGAGCAAAGTCCAAAGGATATTCATTTTACATGCGCCCAATCTAGACCCTCCTGCCTCCAAAAGCCCCCACCCAAATGGCTGCGTCACCAATCAGCCCAGTAAAACCTCTCCAACTTGTGCTGCCCCCACCACCACTCTCTCTCTCTTTCTCTCTCCTCGCGTTACACCACCTTGGCATGGGATGGCATGAGAAAACACAGGCCCAAAATCCCACTAGACCCTGGGTCCAGCAGCTGCTCCTGGATTTACCACACAAACAAAGAGCGGAGGGGGAGAGAAAATGCTCCCCCAACTTCAACCCCAACAAAATAATAGCATCCAAAAACATGCTCTCCTGTTTCAAAATGCACTTTCACATCCAAACTGGCCTATTATTGCCAGTTTTTCCTCCATTCGTAACTTCACTTTTAATAGCCCCGGCAGCAGAGAGGCAGAAATGCAATAAAAAGTTTCTAAGCAAATTAGAGATGTTTCTCAAAACTAACTGAAGAATTGAATTGTGAGTTTGTGCCCTGCCTGCCACATGGGGTAAACGCAGGTTCTGCTGCTAGTTCTGAATGAATGTACGCAAAAGTCATATTCCATTTGTATGAATATTTTTGGTCTACATTAGTATATATTAGTTTACATTTAGCATACATTTTCTCCACGACTCAGCCAAGCGGCTGAAAAGGAAAGGATGGATTTATAACAAATTCAAAAGCGCTTTGATTGTGTCTATGACTGTGTTGAAAAGCAACACACTGCATGGACTATTTTTGACATAAAATATGAAATACAAATTTGATTACATTGCCATGCATATAAGTGGACATAGACATAGGTGCGGTCTGGCTCCAGAACATAATATTTAACTGAAGAAAACCAACAACTTAAGATCACATATTTATGTTAATTAAATTAAAAATCATTAAGTTAATTTGGTTTAAAGAATAATTTTGACACGGTCAAAGAAAATATCAGCGATTTGTAAGAAGTTGAGTGTGCTGCTACAAACAGATAACTTGTTGCAAAGTGGAAGATGCCTCTTGGATGTGATGGTCCTGTGTTGTGATGGGGCAGGCGGTCTGAATCCCCCACAAAGGCCAGTCTCCTCTGGTTGGCTGCAGTGTGACCATTAGGCTGAGGCGGCGCACATTCACAGAGGAGCGGCTCGCTGACTGGCTGGCAGGTTGTTTTTAGGTTGGCTCAAAGGCTTCAGACTGGCCCACGATCTGGCTGAGGGTGAGGCTGGTTGGCCCGTGTGGGGAGCTGACTGCCTGGCTGGCTTGTCAGTGCTATTGCAGGGGGAGCAGACCCATCTGGACCAGGCAGCACCAGGCCGGGTGCCGATTGTTCAGACTAGCATACGCCTGCATCACACAGGCACACTGAACAAGTAAAACATGCAAAGGAAAGAATTAACCTAATATATGGGCAAGGGAAGCACGAGGAGAATAACAATAAATGTACATTTGTACGGCACGCTTTTTGAACTTTAATGACAGGCAGGTGTGGTGAGAGCTTATGGAACAAAGAAAGCATCTAAAAAAAACAATGATTCTGATCAACAATTAAATAAGACTTTGGCAATTAAAAAGGAATTTCATGGAATTACTTTAGAAGATCACAACATAATTTCATAATGTTATTATAAATATGCAGTATGCCATTATTTCTTATTTAAAATGTATGCATTATGATGACAGTAAAAAGCTGTTTTTAGTGGCTTGTACTGGCAACTTGGCCACTGGTCTCTTCTATGAACTCATCTTATCTCTTTATGCCACATTCAATGACCTTTGTTCACCAGAATGGGCAAAAAACCGCTATGTCGACAAAGTCATGGTTCAGCAGTGATCAGGTCGAGCTGATATTTTGCAACATGTCTTTAGCAAGACACGCAGTTTAACTGTTCAGAAGACAATAGACCACAGAAGTCTAACGACACAAAACCTTCTAGAGATGCAGGGACCTTTCTTTTAAACTATAAAGAAAACAGAGCAAGTAGTAGCAGTAGTAGTAGTAGTACAGTAGTAGTAGTTGTAGGTTTCAAAGTCGGCTATTGTTGTTTGGTCATAGCTGAAAAAATCTTCAAAATGAAGCTGGACATACTCTAGTCCCCAACAACCACGCCACAAAAGGGGAAGGCCACGGTGATAAAGTAAAGTCCCAGTGTACAGAGAAACACAGAGCATGTCACTCACAGCTCATGGAGGACGTGGGGAGGACTGAACCCGCGCCTCCTCCGCTCTGAGTCTGAGTCTGAGGACCACTCTTCATGTGCCTTTAGCCTCTGCAAGAAGTGTATTTGAACGCCACTCCACGCACAATAATCTTAACACCGTCTGAGTGCAAAACCCTGGAACATTTAACAAGCCGCACGGACGTATGCGCACTGAGCAGAGACTGCGGTGGTCTGGAGACGTGACCTGCCGCAGCGGCCTGCCGCGACATGGGCGAAGGAAAACAGAGAAAACAGTGAATGGAGAAAACCCGGGAAAAAACGCGAGAAATGACTTTTAAAATGTGAAATTACCACCGAATGCTTCGCATGTCACTTTGTAAATATTACTCAATGTATTATTTAATTACATCTTGTTATGTTTGTTAATTAAATAAGGTTTCACACAGAAACACGTGACCGTGACGTCGATCAGGCCTCTTAAAATAATAATAATCATAATTTTAAAATGGTCACAGCTACACTTAGAAAAAAAAATAGCTTATTTTATGGTATCCACATTCAAGATTATAATGCCATATAAAAAAGACTAAAATTGTTCTTGCCTTAATTTCATAACCTTCATTAATTCATGAACGTTGAATGGAATTGTAAAAACATTAAATTCTGTTTTTTGCCTTTTTTATTTGATCTACTATCAATTTCACTTCACTTAAATAAAATTATGAAAATAATGTATCTGTCTCATTTATATTTCTAAACAATTGCAAAAAATAAGATATCAAGAGATTATTGATATTTCTGAAAAACATAATGATACAGTTTATATTATACAAAAATATAGATGTGGGAATACAGGAGTTGAGTCCTATTCTCACATGACACAAAAACACAGTCGTAAACGACATTGTTTGAGACTCATTAAACATAAAAGCCTTTTCATTTTTTCATTCAATTATTCACACACTAAGCACTGGCCACTTTAGTACACATAACTCATTGGTTTTCTCATCACTCATCGAAAGTGACAAAATCTTTTCTCTCTCCGCACAGATTGATGCAGAGAGTGCGTCTGTGCATCATTGGTAATTATGGCTGTTTACACACTAAAGCATTACTATGTGCGAAAGTCTGGAAGCCATTTGTGGCATGAGACACAACTGAGCCCTAAACACCTCCAGAGTCACATTAACTGCGCCTCTGACACCGCTGGGATAGAACTAAAATATGTTTTTACTGTAAATGCATAGATTGTGCACTCGATTATAGTGTGGATCCTTAAAATAGGAACAGAAGAGGACTTGAAACACAATCCTCCTCAAAACAGACTCATCTTGATAAGGCAGAGATCATGGCTTTTGCATTATTCTCCCTCAGTATAAATAAAGCAGATCAGAATTGAAGTTTTCAAACTAAATTATGGGCTACATTTTAAGAAATTAAGAAAATGCATTTCAACATCTG